AGCAAAATATGTCGTGAAACAGTGCTTTAATCATTGGACGTTCATCTACAGCTGATACTTGAGAGTCAATCCTGTTCAAGATGGCCACCACAGTTTTGCAGATGTTAGGTTATAATTTGAGTACTACACATCGGACATAACCGCTTTTTGTCTTTTAACAAAATACCTCATGAACTGGACAGATTTTTTTATGCATTTAATAAAAGAATGCTAAACCTTCAAATTTTTGGTTAGTTTTCTAGTGTAATAGTCTGTGTTTTTCAACCCTGCTCCACAAGGCACACTGCCCTGCAAGTTTTAGATGTTTCCCTGCTTCTTCACAGCTGATTTCAGTTGTAAACTGATTGCAATTCAACAAAAGCCTGTTAATCATCTGAATCAAGTGTGTCAAAGCAGGGAAACCTAAAGCATGCTGGGCAGTGTGCCTTGAGGACCAGGGTTGAAAACCACTGGTCTATGAAGACTGTTTTTGACGGCGTATTGCCCTGATTTCCAAAAATTGGAATCATCATCAGCTTTGGAAAAACCCTAATTAAAAAAAAATAAAGAAATAGACTAAACTAGTGATTTTCAAGAAGATGTGGCTTCACAAAATCTTTTCAAAAAATGTTTTTTAAGTGGTAGCATATGCACCATGTCTTCGTGAAAACAATTTAAACCATTTGCAGATCAGCTGAGTCTGCCCATGTTTCATCTCTCTAAGCACCAGTTTTTGTTTATATAATTCAGCTTGTACAGATGCATTTAAAGGGTCAAAATTATATGTTTATCAGGCATATATTTAAAACTATACCATACTAAAGTATCTGTCACCTTTAGTTGTTATTAAAATGCTGTTTTTATGTTTAAATAGAAAATAAACTTATTTTCTCATCGCTTCCTCTTCTAAACGCCTTTAAATTGGCCTCTGTCTCTTTAAGAACCACCTTCCGCTTCTGTCCTGCCAATTTCAGCTCGGGGGTGTGGGGGGGGGGGGGGGGGTGCTATGGTGCAGTTTACTTGGCATATGAAAATAAATTTCCTCAAAGTATTTAGAATCTGAAAAGAGCTTCACTGAGTGAGAACTATTGTTGAGCTCAGCAGACAGTGTCCGTTTCACTTTCAGTTTCACCCATTGTTTGAGAGCCTGCAGGAGTCATGGGTGGGGTGTGTGGGGAGGGGCGCTCTGCCATGAGGAAGTTGGGCTTAAAGACACGTCCCAGAGGCATTTCTGGTCCCCACCTGTCGTTTTGCTCCTCAGCACGGCTGCCTAAAAACGCTGCAGGATTTTTCAAACATGCATGAATGAGTCAAAGCAAGGCTTTGGGCATGTTTTTCATGAGAGTATAACATTATAACATGATATAAAACTCAAAAAAGTTGATTTTAAATGATATTGCCCTGTTAAATATCTCAAGTTAAGAGTGTATCATCCTCACATTTTGACTCAATTTGACTCACGTTCTCTTCTCTGTGAATTAAATTGCTTTTACAAAACAATACATTTAGCAGCCTGTTTTCATTTCATTATAGAGGGGTCAGTAGCACATAATGTATGTTGGAAAATGAACATTTGTTGACAGCACTTTCTTATGCTATAAGTGACACTTTGGGAAATACATAATGTAGCATTTGCTTGAATCACTTTCAAAGGTTTTAGCTTGTTTCTGATGGTGCAAATGTTTGTCTGAATTGAGCCCTGTCCTGTGCAGCTCAGTGAAAGAAGACCGATTTTTAAATATTTGATCTGTTGCGTTAAATGTTCTGTATCCTTTTACATTAGCTGCAAATCACCAGACTAATCTAAGCCTTGGTGTTGAAGTGTGAATGGATTACACTGCAATATTGACATAGGTGGATTATAGTTCAGACTCAAGGTCAGATTGCAGATTATTTGAGGGCATGCTGACCTGATGTTGACGGTGTGAAGATGAAAAAGTAGGAAGAACTCGAGGTACCAAAATCACCTTCAGGAGGAAACAAAGTCCATTTAGTTTCCAGTTGCTAATACCGTGGTTAAAATGTGCAGTGATGAGCAGTAAAGAGCACACAAACTCTTATTTTGTTTTTGTTTTTTTGTGCTGTGCTGTAATAACATACTTTTTCACACAGAGCAACTATTTAAGTCCTACTGCAATAGTACCAATAAAAAAATACTCTATGATAATGTCAGACAATTTGCAGTCCTGCAGCCTGAACTGAAACAACGTGCAGCTGATTCGTCGGCTGCGACACCACAGAGCTCCCCAGCAATCCTCTTTGCATGGCTGGTGATAAAGCCATGATGTAAAGGAGATTAGTAGCAATAGACAGACAGGCAGGAAGCTACTTCACTGTTGACCAGGAGTTAGGTGACTCTAACAGGAGAAAAAAACAAGTGAGAAGGTAAGGAACTGGTAGAAGTGCAAACAGATAAACATGTATGGATGTGTGAACGGCAACACTGGAAATTGTTTGGGCAATGTTATTTGCAGAGACAGGTCCAATTTTTTAAAATATTTGAAATATCTGAGCTGCCAGTAATCGGTCTTGCTGCTGGACATTTTGTCTGGGGTAAGCAATGCTAATAAAATGTTTGCTGACAATATAGAGTGTGCATTTGGTTTGAACTATCGACCGATGCAGGTTTTTAAAGGGCAATACCGATTATTTTGACGTCAGTCTAACCGATACGTCGATACGTGCAGCTAATTGTTTCAGGCCGATTCTTAAAGCCAATACTCCTTTTCTTCCTCCATTAACATGATAAAAACAAAACAGTGATAACAAACAAGTCTCAATTAAAACAAAAAAGAAACATTTTAACTCAGCCTTGTCTGGTGTAGACTGAGTGAAGTTCTGCCATACAGGTTTTGATTTTTTAGCCACTTCTTAAAAAAGGAAGAAAAACACATACAAGATTTTTATTATTTAGTTGCACATAATCTGTTTTCTTTGTATTTATCAGATTAATATTTTTTCTACATAAAATAAAATGAACGTGTTTTAATATCCCAACATTTTTTATGCAAAAACAGCAACAGGCCTAAAGGAAACTGTCAGAGGAACACAGAGGACACATACATGCATCTTGCTATCTTTGTGAGGAACACACACACACACACACAC